ACCGTTGTAAAACATTATATTAGGTAAAAAAATAATTTAAATAAGGTTTTTAGCATAGATGTCTCTTTAAGCTCATGTTGATATATCTATTAGCTATCAATTAATATAAAATATAAAATAATTGTTTATGCAATTATTGATATTATATGCGTAATTGGTAAAAATGAGATTGTAATCAAATTCAAGTCATCAAATGATCAAACTTAGCATGCTTTTTTTGTCAAAAATCATGACAGACGACCAAATTACTATTGACGAACAAATTAAACCATTGCCCATACATACCCTTGGCTAATGTATAATAATAATTACAATATTAAACTTTACGACAGTTGCAAACGCTTGAAAAACGTAATATAAATAAACACGAAAGCCTTTAGTTTTTCGAAAAGGAGATTCTTCTATTTTGTCGGTGAAGTTATTTTCAACGGGCAAACGAGTATAACTCCAACTAAATATGTCGAAATACACATTGACTTGATTGACCTAATGAAATAGCTCGTCCTCGTCTACCGCTTCTTTGCTCTACTGCTACTTTGTTAACCTTCCACCAAAGTTTTTGATTAAAATTCATTCGAAATAATGACCCATTACTCGCACTCTCTTATCGCCAATCCGAAAGCCTCGTATTCTTATACTCGTGGCCGTTTCGCGATCACTACTTTAATGGCTCCATTATTAGCTCCCTCGTCTGGCGATAATCGCGGAAAATTTTTGATACTCGAAATTAACAGAGTTATGAAGTTGTTGCTCGGTCGGGCGCAAAAAAGTTCCACGGCAGATAAGGTGGAGCTGCTTTAGGGGCCCCAATCACAATTCACTCGGATTTATTATGATAAGTTGAGAATTAAACGGGCCACCCGACTTGCCCCTACGCTCGTAATTACTCCATCACCGGGTCCCGAGATTTTAACGCAACATCTGCACGCCCAACTTGGCGTATTAATGTATTAATGGAGATACTAAAGCGATATGCCACTCTTTGTTCCTTAGTCCGAAATGCCGCTCGAGTTTTTGCCAAAATGGCCGTGTATTTGTGCGCGGCAACTGCTCTCCTTTAATCCTCCACCACCTGACCTCCGCTGCTAAGCCGCAATCTAAGGCGACCTTCGTATTATTGTCAAATTGGGAATTATTGTCATTGCCCCCGCCGAGAGCCGCTGGCAAATTAGCGAACGAGTCCATTTTTTCGATGCGTTTGCCTCTCGAACTGTCAAGCGACGAATTAAAACAACTGTCTTGTAACGCTCGTGATTATTACAAATTTATTGATTATTTCTGACGTATGCTTGTTCTTTTGGATGCAGATGATTTCCGAATTCTGTTCTGATTATTACAGCATCATCTATTTTGTAAACTAGTCCTAGTAAGCTAATCATATATTAGAGAAAAGAAGAGAATCAAAGTTAATTATTTTATTATCTATACATATATATATTATTCTTATTGTTTGTGAATGTGAACAATGTTTTCTCTGGTTTATTTGTATTCTTTAGAGAGCGTGATATTTAAAATTAAATTGAAAAATATATGACTGAATGATTATTTTAAATTTCTAGTTTTCAAATTTCATTTAAGAAAACTCATTTTCTTAAAATAAGATAATATGTGCGTTAACATAAATATAGTAATTCATTCATTAGCACATTATTATTCATAGATTATAGCGGCATAATAAGCTACTCTAAGCTGGCAACTTTAATCTTAAATTAAATATCTGAGAAATTTAAAGATCGATGATTGATTTTACTTTTATAATTATTTAAACATTTTGGCACATTATGCCAATATACAATATAAACAGAAATATAGGATTCGTTAACAAATATCTACGGCTCTATACCGTATGCAATATTTAAAAAAATGAATCATAGCTGATGAAAAATAAGTCAGTGATAGATAATTTAAGAAGCGAAAAAGAATTATTACATTCTTTTAAATATTCTTAAACGTCAGGATAATATTCATTTAGATAATTTAATGATTTAATGATTTTGTGCCGTTATTCGAATACCTCACCTCTTACAATTATAATATACCTAATACTTCTTTCGGTATAATTTCGTGATTTAAAAGTAAACTATTTGCTAAAATGCGAATCAACATAAAATAATTAAACAAGAAAAATAAAAACAAGGTTACAAACTAAATATAATTTATGTAAAATTTAATTAATATTTTGAAATATGCTATCCAAGTGCTCGTAATCTATTAATACATTATTATTCACCACGATTTTAATTCCCAAACATAAAATGTATAAAAACAAAATCAAAGTGTTTTTTTTTTCAATGAGCAAACAACCATGTTAATATTTGCAAGAATAACGTGTAAAATGAAAGAATTATGAGTATGAGTATACTTCAATTTTCAAGTACCCCATACTCGCTATTCGACAATAATTGAACTTACGGTAATACAAAAATTTATTAAAACATGCAACAATGCACACAATTTTATTTATTTATGACACTAGCTAGATAGAAATGAGAATAAGATACGAAAAGGTTATTACTCTCGGCCTGGCCAACCACTACTCTTCTATTTTCAGTTTAGCGGCAACTTGCCAAACTTATGTTAATTAAATATATTACTATTTTTCTCAAATGTACCGGTCAGACTATTACAATTTGTATTGTTATGATGTCCACGTAAAATGAGGACACGTGTTTAGTGCGCAAAGTACGCTCATAACTTATTAAAATCACATGGTTCCAGTACACTTATCATATTTATAGAGAATGAGAAATCTATATTAATAACTAATGGAATGTAATTTCAAAAATGTTAGCAACGTTATTAATCGAATCAATGATATTTCTTTAAACACGTCTCCATTTTAACAGAGAAATATAAAAATTAAAATATAATTAATTGATAAAAATTCAATAACTTGAATTAAAATTTATTACAAATATATTATTACAAATGCAAATATATAACATAATATTTTATATTTAAATGACTTCTTATTTATTTTTTATATATAATTTGGTTATTCTTCAACATGTTGTTAAATATTTAGTTTGATATATTAATAGTGTATTTACAAAATTGCTTTATTACACATACGGATAGATTATATATATATATATATGTGTGTGTGTGTGTGTGTGTGTGTGTGTGTGCGTGTGTGTGTGTGTGTGTGTGTGCGTATTTATAATAGTCAAATAATAATTTGAAGTATTTACTTATGAATTGCGCATATGTGCTCATAATATTAGAAATATAAACTCAGGTATTATTATGAAGAAATAGGCGTGATTTTTATATTGATTTATATGCCAAAGAGGAATAATAGATTTTCTCACTGTTAACTTTGAAGTAAACCAATAGCAGAAAAAAAAGTATATATTAACAGTTTACACACTTGTTTTCAATCCTGTTGTGTTATTACAGTTTCAGTGTAACAGAATAAATTATTCCTATTGTCGAGAGCTTGAAAATACCACGTTCTACACAATTATCTCTTTTTACACAGACCTTTAATACAAATAAAAATAAAGTCCAAAGAAGGTACATGTAACTAACGTAATAGCGACGTATACAATTATCAAGCAAAAAAGCCGTCGTGGAATTCTTCTTTGCGAAGAAAACAAATAAGAAAGGGTCGGATGTTGTGGACGAGGAGAAGGGCAGGGAAGGGGATGAGAAAGAGAAAAAAAAGATTATATTGCGCTCGCTCCGTATACTCCACATCAAACGCAGAAAATCGCGAGTTGTCTGGCTGGCGTGCGCATCGACAATTCTTCTTCTTCCGTACCTTTAACGAACGATCTTTACTAGTACGAGAGAGCGAGGGATAGGCCGAACGAAGGGAAAAACCTTTCCCTCGCTAGAACCAGACGTATCCGCAGCGCCATTGGTCGAACGCAGCGATGGACAATGAAGAATGGACCTGTCAAAGAAACAATTTGTACGTGATATATCGCACGTATACGTATACAAAGAGTCGAAAGGAGCGTTCCTTATGCTTGACTCCCGGCGCGTCTCTCACTCTCTCTCTCTCTCTCTCTCTCTCTCTCTCTCTCTCTCTCTCCTTTCTCTCTCCTTTCTCTCTCTATATCTCTCTCCCACTCACACACACGCGCACTCCTAAGGCCTCTCGCCCCCAACCCGTCTATCGCGCGCACTTAAAATCTCTCTTTTTCTATCTTCTCCCTCACCTACATATACACGCGCGTTTGAATAAATATATAAGTTCGCGTACACACATCTATTTATCATTCTCGGTGTCTATACGAGAGATTATGTTGATATTATCGCGTGTCGCGATTCACCGACACTCAAATCGATCTCGTTGGAAAAGCATTAGGTCTTTTTCATCAGAAGCGCTGCTACGAAGATAAACGCACTTTATCAGCTATTGACTCGCGACGTAAATGTCGATGTGTTATGTTTGAGTGCGTGTACCTGCGCAACCTGCATCGTTGTGCAATTGATACAGCCACATTTTCCTATAGCTGCCTTTATGTTATTGTATTGATTGGATTTGTTGTGGATGCTATAATATTGCTCGGCTATTAAATCTTATTAATCCTTATTATTTGCTCTTGAAAAGCTTAATGAAAAGCTCGGATGTTATTTAGCATATTTATTTTAATAAATATACTCTTCTTCAGGTATCTTACTGTCGCAAGCATACGATTCATTTAGATAAATATGATGTTAGTATCTTTGGCTTGACGACCATCAACGACATTTGCACTTTAAACTACTGTAAAGCTTGCGAGGATGACGATAGCCCGAGGAACAAATACTATAAGATAGAAAACAAAGGTTTAATCGATTTTTTATTTTATTCTATTCAAATCTTTACCCATCTTGCTCCACAATATTGATCAGCGCTATAACCGAATCGACCATAAACACGGCGCTAATCTAGTTGTCTCGTACGCTTCCAGCATAATAAAAGTGACACGAGCATAGCAAAAATCTAATAAATACAAATTTAATAAATATTTTTTTCCGCATAAACTGATTATATAATGTCTGTTTAGGGTGATAGTGGAGCTTACAGAAGCAGAACCGGCATCGCTAGTAACAGCACATTCGGACGGAATGCAACGACGGGAAGTAATTTCAGTAATTATAGAACTAACTACACCGGTATTGGCTCAAGCTCCCTTAAAACATCCACAACAAAAGACAGAAGTATTGGCAACATTTATACCGGAAATTTTACAAAAAAAGATGGAGATAAGGCCGAGGAGAAAGCCTCGTATAAGTATTCCTGTAAGTGTAAATTAGCATTCGATCTAGCTCGTATGTCGTTCTCATTGAGTTGTTAAACAAAATTAAAAAAAAAAATTGTTCGCCAAACATTATTACATTATAGCCAATCTATTATGAATGGCGCAAAACCTAATTATTATCGCTATTAAGCTTAAAGACAAATTCATCAACTCTCCTCGTGCGCCAAGAAAAAAAAATTCGATAATAATCGATAAGAAATTAGTTATTATAAATTAGTGACTTTAATTGACTTTAATCGCTTCTTGATTTTCAATTGGAGTTCTTAATTATTAACAAGCAAGCGCTGCATAGGCTAATTAACAGTATCGATTTGCAGTTAACAAAAATTCCGAAAAAGAACGGCTGACTCCCGGTGATATAAGCAAAGACGATCAACGCACTCGCGGTCGCTCCTCCAACGGCCCATCAATGCTTGACAAATATACCCTGGGTAGTGGAAAAATCGCCTCCGAACGTTCGGCCTCCGTCCTGGACAAGTACCGGGGCAATCGCGAGTCCAGCGGCAAATCGCCCAGGTACGGGGCCTCGAATTCCTACTCGGAGTCCAGCCGGAGTTACGCCGGTGAGAAAAAGGAGAGGGAACAGGAGGCTGCAGCCACCAAAGGACCGAGATTCGCGTCCTCGAGGGCGTCGCAGGAGCCGAGTCCGGAAGTAGCCGGGAAAACCTCGGGACAGAGAGGAAGGAGTCAGTTGGCTGGGAAGAACGGCCAGTCATCCAGTGAGTTGTTCCTCTTCATTATCCATCCTGTTTGTCTATGGAGATTGCCGGCTTATTTTTATTGCATATTTCTTAGATGAATAGTTGTAGGATTTGTTGGTCGAGCGGAATTGTGCGCGTTTGCCTCTAATATTCCAATTATAAATAGAGTGGAGAGGAGACTCTTTGCTCACGATGGACTTAATGACAATTATTAATATTTTCGTATAATTGAAGGCTCGGCAGTCTTAAATTACGTGGTTATTTGAGGCTAACGAATTTATTGACGAATTTACGACTGACTTTATAAATGAAGATTTCCCGTTAGAAAATCACCCCTCTCTATTATTAATAGCATTGGGAATTTTACGACTCGACTATTGGTTTACGATTTAAATGTACACCATGATTTCAAGGAATCACGTAATCGCTTGGTTAAATATTATCAATGTTGTTGGTCGATGGTCAAATAATATGCGCGAATGGGTGCTCGCTGCTATGCGCTATTAAGCATTCTTTCACAAATTTCTTATGAAAATTATATAATTAATAACAAATTGATATGAATTTCAGATTATCCGGAATCCTCAACAAGCTCTACATCGTCCCCACGATATAATGGACGCCATTCTCATGTGTCTCGAAATAATGCCGAGCGTATCTTAAGTGACGGCATCGGCTTTACACGATCGGACAAATTTCACAATGCAGCTGCGAAATTGCAGCCTTCGCCGGTCGTGGATGAAGCTGCCGATCGAGACCAAAAATGCCATAATACCGACTCACGCTCGGATGCTGCAGCATTGGATACGAGCTTGCCACTCGCGACTAATTCGCCAAAAAATAAGCAGGAGAAGTTGCATGATATGGCCCTCACTGATAATTCAAAACGTTGCGATAAGGAGGACAGTGCCGAAAACGAAGTCATAATTATCTCGGTCGTGACAAGAGGAACGTCGCCCACACCGCCTCCACCACTTACCGCCTACGCAAGGACAAAGAGATTAGAGCCCCTACCTAAGGTTGTTCGGAGAGAGGTGAACAAATCGGAGTTAAATAAGGTTGAACGGTGCGCGAAAGAGCAGCAAGTCGATTGCGTCGTTGGGGAAGGTTCGTCTAGGGGTAGGTACACTCCTCGGTACAATAGCGCCGCCACTGGAAGGGCTTTCGGAGTGCCTTGGGTTTCCTCCTATCTAGACAAATTTAGCTCGTCCGCTTCTGCGAGTAATCCCGGTCTCTACTCGTCCCGTAGCACTTGCAATATCTCGCATAACAGAGCGAGCACGGACTCACCGGGGTGCTCGAAAGCGATGGACGAGTCATCGAAGAGCAGCACCAAGAGCAGCACGATTGGATCCTCGACCAATCTAATCCAATACTCGGCCCACAATACGCAGCACCATAATCGTTGTAATTCGGGCTCCTCGACACTAGCGAAGGAAGTGGATCGCCCATCGGCGAAAGTCGACTCGAGTCAGAAAAGACGTAAAGCCGCATTGAGCGATGGCGAAGAGCGCAAGTCCAACGCGAGCCGAGAAGAAACGCCCAGAGTCAGCGGGGGTCAGGATCATGGCCAAGGTCTCGCTACTAGCTCATCTCGTAAGGAATCGTCGAGTAAATTATCGGACGGGAACTCCTCGGCCCATGGCAAATCCGCTAGCGTATCGAGGAGCGGCTCTTTAAAGCTCCGTCACACGACATCAGCACAGTCTCCGCCGTCTATCAACGGGCCAGTTGGCTGCAACAGTGCCAACGGCGATAGATCTAATAGTAGTAGTAATAGTAGTAGTAGTAGTAGTAGTAGTAGTAGTAGTAGTAGTAGTAGTAGTAGTAGTAGTAGTAGTAGTAGTAGTAGTAGTAGTAGTAGTAGTAGTAGTAGTAGTAGTAGTAGTAGTAGTAGTAGTAGTAGTAGTAGTAGTAGTAGTAGTAGTAGTAGTAGTAGTAGTAGTAGTAGTAGTAGTAGTAGTAGTAGTAGTAGTAGTAGTAGTAGTAGTAGTAGTAGTAGTAGTAGTAGTAGTAACAGCAACAGCAACAGCAACAGCAACAGCAACAACAGTAATAGCAATATCAATGGCAGTAATAATAGTTGTAGTAGCAGTAGTGGTGGTGGTAAGGGTGGTAAGAGTGGTAGTGGTGGTAGTGGTAGTAGCAGTAGTAGTAGTAGTAGTAGTAGTAGTAGTAGTAGCAGCAACAGTAGCAGCAGCAGCAGCAGCAGCAGCAGCAGCAGCAATAGTAATGGCAAGTCCGTGTCGTCGACGTCCTCGGCTACAGCGGCAACGGCAGCATCGATGACGAAAATAAAGTCCGTCTCGGCCACCACCACTACTGCGCTACCGTCGTCGTCTAATAGCAAGTGTGCAAGCGTCTCAGCTGGATCGTCAGTGACTTCGCGTCAGGCCTCGTCGGCGGACGCACGCGAACGCAAGCCACCGGTTCCCAAATCCGAAATGGTTGGGAGAAACGGAACGATGGGTGGCACAGGGGGTATGAAGTACGTTAACAAGGACTTCCGAAAGTCCGCCCTAAATATGGAGAATGGCGATCCATCGCGATCTCAAATTAGCGATAGGAAGAACCAGAAGAAGTACCAGAGGAGCGTGTCCGTTAGCTCCCAGGATTCGCAATCAGAGTCAAACTCGGGGTCCACGACGATGCTGCAGCAGGTGGCTTCGTTCGGCTCCTTGGTCTCGCTTAAGCCAACCAAATTGGCTTCGAAGCACAAGGCCCCGCCGACAAAAGCAAATATCGCGCGCAAAGGAGATGTAAAAGGTCCTGAGAGAGACGGGCGGAAAAGTAGCTCGAAGTCTCCGCCGTCGTCCAGCAACCGTAACATCGCGCGGACCGTGTCCATTTCGACGTCGGAGTGTAGCTTCGACGGCAGCTCCTCTGATACGTCGATTAGCGACGCCGATGACAATGAGCCGGCAAAAGCTAAGCAAGATATAAGAAAAAAGCGCACGCCCAATGCCCCTTTCCAAGAGCGGAAGGGCAAAACGAGCCTCGATTCGTCAAAGACGAGCGTGTTAGTTTCGTCCGCGGATGAACTTTCGATAAATACGGATAAGCCGCCTCGGCCACCCTCGACCCCGCGCTCGCGAAACGATAGATCCGGAAAGACAGACGAGGCCAAGTCATTTTTAATACGAACCCTGGCTCCCGTCGCCAATAATTTTAAGATCAAACAGCAGGAGAGCGCCGATGAGATTAGTAGAGCCGGTGGTTGGGTCGATGCGTGCAGTGACGAGAATTCCGACTCAGCGAAGAAATCGCCAAATTCCGTATCGAAATCAGCTGCGCAGAATTTATCACGAAGCTCGAGCACAACGAACATGGAAAACAATTCAACGTCGGATAAAAGGCGCGCGAGTGCGAGAGTGAGACGTCAATCGTCGGGTGAAAAGCCCTGGTGGCTTGATTCGAATTCCGATAATGTGCCCGAAGGTGTCGAGAGACATCCAAGCATCGGAAATGACGACATTAGTCAAGACACGACCATCAGCACTGTGCTACCGGATGACGGTAATTAAGCTCTTCAATTTCGTTAATTTTTAATGCCACGGTAGAGCTTTGCAATTAGCTAATAGTGAATTGTGTGAGTTATGTCATCACCGTATCTTAAACGAATGTCAAGCTTACGTTATTATATGGAGTTTATTGCATGCATACATTGTTAATAATAATAATATATCATGATATTGAAAACAATTTTGTGTCAAGTTTGTTCTAGTACATAATATTGTTTTGTAGGAGTGGATATAAAATTATTGAAAAATGTGTTGGCTGCATCTTATTATTGTTTTTGGAGAATATTGATAAATACGTTTAATTTTTGAAAATACACCACATCTGTCTCTTTAAAAAAATAAATAATAATAAAATACATATATAATTTTAGTATAAATAAATAAATAAATAAATATATATATATATATATATATATATATTTATTTATATTAAAATTATTTAAAAGTTTATGTTTCGCAAGGAAAAATATAACAGTTGTTGTTAAATCGTTTTCAAGCCTAATGTTTCACAAATCAAAATAAAAATAGATTAATCGATTTTAAAGCTTCATTCTACTCATTCTGTTCAGTTAGCGCGTTTTCATTTTCATATCGAACATTCTCATTTTCATGAAAACTTTGTCGAATGTTATTCGAATATAAATTTAAACATTTGGTTTTTGTTATTGTTGTTGTTGTTAATAATAATAATAATCATTATTATTAATCGTATTTAATATTTATAATGCTACATTCGTGCCTAGAGAATCGCATGACGTAGCTGTTGGCAATTATAATTTATAAATTATGTATTTATACGAGAAGCGGTGATCCCTCGCGTGTAATAAAATTTTGAAACTAGTACGGAGAAAGGAATTTTAAAAATATCACGTTGCTTATGTCGGTAACATAGAATTTTGTTATATCGTCGTATTGAAGTAGTTGGAAGAGTTACGTTACAAATACTACAATTACTAAGGCTGATTGAATTAACAAAACATTTTCATAATTATTAATGCAACAAAAGAAAAGAAGCAAGCTGTAAAAATAATTTTTTTTCAAGTTTCTTATGACATTGACGTTTACGGAAAAAATTTCCACGCCTAATCTTGTAATACCTTTTTTGCTTTGCTAACTTGTCTAATATACATTACATATTTCATCTGAGATAGTTGATATCGATGCTACATACGATCGATAATATAGACTAAATCATTCTTACAAGACATCTAGGATCAATACTTTTAATGAAATTATAATACATCCAGTTTTTTTATATTATTTTAATGCAATATTTTAAATATCTTATTATGTCGTGGTCATTGGTTGTGTACCTATGACAATGTATATCATATGGCATATCCGATTGTATTTTAATTTGTATCTGTGTAGCACATGTACTACAACGTTACAATATAAATCGTCCAATCGTTTATATAATTTTAATCTAGAAAACCAGACAATGACGGCACTCGAGTCATCGTGTATGAAATTTTTTATAACATATTAACTCACGCGTTAGAGCATACGTCGAATATAATAATTGGCTTTGTCAATTAATATTCTTACCCATAGATTTTAAATATATGTGTACAAGTAAATTAAATATAGTAATATCAAAATGTTCAGCGATTATGACCGCCAAACTTCAAGATTATTTGTCAATGCTTCAAACCTTCTAACACACCACAGTATTTTAGTATTCACTTCAAATTAAACGAAACTCGGACAATAAGCTGAGCCGACAATTTTAGATTTATTCAAATTTCGTTTGCAAATTATTAAAACAAAACTTCCACCACGAAGCATTGTTCAGCCTCCTTGACCGAACTTGAATGTCATAATTAAAATGACCAAATGGTACTGCATCGAGATCGCGCAGCCATTAAATTTGCTTACAAGTTAAATAAAATCTTTGGAGGAGGAGAACATTTCGTTAACTCTATTCACAAACTAACCTTATTAAAATAGCTAAATAGCGAAACTTTAATTTGGTCATCGGAGTGCTGGAGGAAGACAACTGCGCGTGTCCGGGTTTTCAAAATACATCTTCCTTAAATTATCAGCTCGCAGCTGCTGCTATTACCGACGCTCAACGCCCAAAAAAGAAATTATTACCTCGAGCGTTCAACCTTCGTTCCATCTTTGTTACCCTAATCAGCGAGCCGCGACTAAACGTAGCCGACCGTAAGCTCGTATCATACGCACATCCATCCCAAGCTACTTCCAAGCTACATCCAAATTGTTTCGCAACCGCTTCCAAGCGCCTTGTTAAAAGTAAGCTAAAATAAACAGAGAGAGAGAGACAGAGAGAGAGATACAGAGAGAGAGAGAGAGAGA